TGCTCCCAGGATCCATGTCGGCATACACATCCTTATCGCTACGCCTTTGGAAGCCTAGTGTCTGCTCAGTGGAAACGCCAATTTTGTTGGCTGCGCGCTTGATAGCCGCTTCTATGATCTTAGTTGCGCTAAAAACGGGAAGGTCGAGCGCACTGGACGTGGTAGGCTTGGGCTCTTTTGGTACCAGCGACTTTGGCGTCGTAAGCGAAAAGAAGGCTTCCTTTTCGCTAGACGCATCTACACTTTCAGCGCTGGTTGCATCGTGATTCGTTGTGGGGAAGGTGGTGCTTGAGCTTATAGCACCCAAATTGCTTATTAGGTCAATATACTCTCCATTGGCTTTGGGACGCTCTGCAGTGACTATATGCACTGGCTTTGCGGTAGTAGACTCCAATTGTTTTTCAGCTCTTTCATTGTTCGCGTGGTTCGTAAGTTTGGTCTCAATCTGCTGGGATAATTCTGTTGGCAAAGTGATGCCTAATTTTTCCAACTCCTGAGCATTGCTCAAGATCTTTTGCAGCTCTTCGAGATCAGCCTTCTGCTGCCCATTACCGGGCTTTTGCGGTTTGTGTGTCGCAATGAAACGCGGGGGCTCCTTCGTCACAGTTTTTTGTATTATCGGCGGCTGCATATTCTGGTACGAGTTGCGCTCCTCATCCTCGAGTTTCTTAAAGAACTCCTGATACTGTTCAAAGTCTTTGTCGAATGATGAATTCTTTGGGTTCGCTGGTGCCGGCATAGCCAACTCACGTAACTCCTCGCTGGAGGTGGGTTCTGGCACAGCCTCTCCCTTCTTGTCCACATGTGACTTTGTTGGCTGCTGATGTTCCGGCGTGAGTATGTTCTCGAATGGTTTGTACTCATGCGCCTTCTCGGGGTAAATAATCTGCGCTCCATTTGTGTTTTGTACGGCGTGTGTATGCGCCGACGCGGAGGTTACCAGATTGGACAAAGTCGAGATATCCTTTGTATAGCTGCTTACAGTTGGCGTAGGCGTGGCTGGTTCTAAGATGCCCTGCACGCCATGGATCTTCACGCGCTCTAGTTCCTGTACTTTACTCAGCAGCTTCTGTAGTTGCACAAAGTCGCTGGGATCCACTTCTTGCAAGCTGCTACCGGAGCCAGTGTCATTGGTGATGTCGATTATTTTTTGTGCGAAATTTTGTGTGCGCTTGCCGGAAGAAGGTTTCGCAGCAGTGGCCGAAGTAGAGATTTCAACGCGTCCAAAAGCGCCTTGTTCCGCGCTCGCAACCTGTTGGTAGAGCTCTTGCAGATGCGCGAAATCATTCGAGGGCGCACGGAGTTCATTGGATTTGGGATTAGGCGCATTTACCTTGCGCGTAGTGAAACCAACGAATGGTATGGGCGTATCCGTTGTGGTCGCGCGTATGCTGTTCTCAAGCTTATCCGAATTCAAACGTTCCAGCTGTTGTACACGATTGATGAGCTCCTGCAACTGATCGTTGTCAGCGTCCGGCTTCTTGGGCTTTTGCGCGCTGAGGCCATTTGTGATGCGCTGAGCCAAATCGATCGAACTAACGGCAGGCGTTGGCGTAGTTGATGTTGTGGTGCTAGTGGAAGTCGTTGTAGTTGGCGCGCTTGTGGTGGTAGTGGTAGTAGGTGCAGGTGTAGTTGTGGTAGTAGTTGTTGTGCTGGTGCTAGTGCGCGTGCGCTCCAACTCTGCAAAATACTTTTGCAGCTGCTCAAACTCGCGATAGCTAGGCGCTGGCGTGCGCGCTGTTGTTGAAGTTGTTGTTGTGGTAGTAGGCACAGTTGTCGTACTGCTAGGCAGCGCGCCTGCCTGTTCAAACAAGCGCTGCAAGTCCGCTTCATTCAAACCACCAAATGGCAAGGCGCGCTGTGTGGTCGTTGTTCTTGGCTTCGGTGTTGTAGTTGTCACCACTACTCTCCCAGTTTGTCCGGCACGCGCCTGCTCATATAACCGCTCAAGCTCGCGATCGTCGGTTAGCAGTTTCTGCAGATTCAAAACGTCTGCACCACCGAGGCCTCCGAGCCCACCCAGCCCGCTTAGGAATCCTCCCCCCGCTCTTACTGGCTGAGCTTGTGGCTTCTTTGTTGTGCGCGCATTCGTCTGCTCCAGCGACTGCAATTGCCGCAAGACTTGCTGTAGTTGTGCCACATCCGGCTGCGCTGAGCTGCGCGTAGCTGGCGTGGATTGCAGCGCAAGCTCGTTGAAACGGTTCACTAAACTCGCCGTGCGTGGCGTTGGTGTGGCGAATTGCTGCGTGCCTGTGCGTGCAACGCTAGCAGGTTTTGCAGTGGGTGCAATATTCTTCAGCACATTATCTGGATTAATACGCAATCTCTCAAGTTCCTGTAAATTTTCGAGCAACTTGTTAAGTTGGTCGGTGTTAGTTGTTTCGGTCTGGTGATTACCCGAGTTGCCGAAGTTAATATCGATATTCGGATCTATGCGTCTACGTGGTTTTTTCGGCTCAATTAGTAGCGGCTCGCCGTTTGTTATCAGACTGGGTGTTGTAGGCGCAGGAGTAGTTGTGCTCCTTGTGGTCGTAGTCGTCGGTCGTATGGTTGTGGTGGGGCTCAATACTTTCGGATTGATATTTAAACGCTCGAGCTCCTGCAAATTCTCGAGCAGTTTCTCCAGCTCACTGCTCGCTGCTTTATTCGCACTAGCTGGTGTGCCACGTCTCGGCAACTTTGCTGTAGAAATCTCGCTTCCACCAGCCGCGAGCTCCGTGCTTTGGCCCCTCACATTATTGTTTCCCTTCTTCAAATCCTTACGCTTACGGCCACCAACAATACCGAAACGTGTAAGATAACCCTCCACCTCAGGCTTGACGCGTATCTCCTCGCCAATATTTAGTGGCTTGAAGCTCGAGTAAGCATCGGGCTTAATCTTCGGCGACAGGCTATACCCCTGCAGCTCTTTTAGCTGTGAAATGCCTATCGTCTGTGGCACATAAGTCGATATAACTGGTTGTGGTGCGCTCTCTGCCGCATAGTAATCGTCGATGGTGAAACGATTGCGTGACTGTGTTTGTCCAACAATACCCAAACTCTCTAAGACATCTGCCACTGGGCGTACAGTCGTCGTCTGATCAGGTTTCGGCCTGCGCTGCTTGAGGAACTCAGCATTCTTCGCGCTATAATGGCTGCTATAACGGTGCACTGGCTTTGGCGTTGGATTTGGTTCCATATTCGTTTCATAGATGGCGCCATTTATGCTATTAGTGACGGGTTGAAAACCGCTGGGTGTGCGCTGAGATGGCGCAGTCATCTTCAGCATGACTGGCGCCGGGGGTAACGGATGATAAGTGGTCGGGCTGGGCGCAAACGCTTGACGCGTTTTCAGCGAATAAGCAGGTTTATAGGTGGTCGCTGCAAAGTTTCCAATATTCGCTGTTTCAGTTTTTACTGGCGCGCTCGGATCGGGTGTAATGAATTTGATTGGCTGGTGCGATGTGTAAGAATCGATTACTCTCGTCACAGGCGGGCGTGTGTAGAGCTCCTGTTAGGAATAAGGAAAGTATTATTAGGAGAAATTAATTAAAAAGAAAGAAATTCCCAACTTAACCTGTATGTTGCCCTCAGTTTTATTGTCCGTATTATATGGCAGCACCAGCATGAGCGCACGCATGCTATCCGCGCGTCCCATATCGCCAGCTGCAATGCTTTTTTGGTACTCTTCGCGCGTCACCTTCTCATAGAGCTCCTCGATTTCACCTCTAAAAATTAAGAAGGTGGAAAAAATATTTTATAACAGGTCAAAAGAGGGTTATGAAGGAGTATATTTCAGCGCTATTGAACTCAATAACGCCTTTTTCATAATAAAGTTTAAGGAGAGATGTGAATAAATCATATAAGCGATGTAATCCAAGGGGGCGCATCTATATACATACAATATAATACGCGAAGGCCAACAATCTGCAGCGTTCGCCCGATTTTCAAAAATAGGGTGTCAAATTAAAGCGCTTGGCCTTTAAATGTACAAACTGGTTTTATTTTTGCGAACAGAGTTGCCGCCTATAGAACAATAAAATTCAAATCATTTCATAACCAATGCCATCATAACCCACCGTTCGTTAGATTTTCCAAAGTGAGGTGGCAAATGAAAAGGCTTGGACTACAGATATGTAATAAGGTTTTACTTTTTTAAAAAAAGTTGCCACCTTTTAAAAATTATATTCAAATTATTAAAAAAAAATCAATTATTACAAAATGGGTATCGATGGAATGGTTTTGAAAATCTTTGTTTCATAACTTAACTTTTGGAGGGCTACCACCTGTTTGAAAAATTAAATTCAATTTGAAATAAGTTTGGAGAAATTTGTTTCCACATATGGGTGCCAAGCGAAAGGGCGTTCAAACGGTAGTAGTTTGAAAATATTTTGAAGAGGGTTGCCACCTGCTTAAAATGTCGAATTTAGTTAACTTGTCCACAAGTATATGTAAGATCAAAATATGGATGTCAAACAAAAGAGTGTTAAGAAGTCTTTAGTTTGAACATTAAAAACTATTGGGAGAGGTTTGACACCTGTTTCCAAATTAAATTCAAATTATTAAATAAGTTAGAGGAATTTTTAAAATGTGGGTAGCAATCGAATCGGGTTTGAAAAATCTTTATTTTTTGAACTATATTTTTTAGGGTTGCCACATGCTTAAAAAAAAATTTCAACTTCATCCATCAGTTAATTATAATATGTATCGCAATGACAGACGAAGGATATCTAAGAATGTCTTAGCGCGAAACTACTTTGCCACCTGTTTAAGTCGATTTTAATTAACTTTTACGCAAGTTATTTGAAATAAGAAGCGAAAGGGTGTTAAGGATACTTGAATTTGAACATTTAGTATGTTTGAAGAAGGTTGCGACGTGTTTATAAAGAGACATTACAGTTATTTAATAAGTGGGATGAAGATGGGATCGTCGAAATGATTTTGAAAAGGCTTTTTTTCGGAAATATATTTATTAGGGTTGCCACCTGTTTAATATATCTAACTCAACTTAAATTAAGGCAATTACCGAATTCAAATATTTATTAAAATTTGGGTGTATATATTGGCGACAAATGAATGAGTGTTAAGAAATTTTTAGTTTGAACACTACAAATATTTTTTGGTGTTTAAAGAGGGTTGCCACCTGTTCGCAAATTCAAATGAAAAGTTAAATGAATTATTAAAATATGGGTGTCAATCATAATGCGATTGAAAAGGCTTTATTCTGAAATATATTCAGGAGGGTTGTCACGTATTTTATAAGGGACTTTCAAATTATTTTATAAGGTAAATGATTTTTCAAAGGATGGATATCAAACGAAATGGGTTTGAAAAGGCCTTTCAGATAGGTTCTGCAATTCACTTCCGAGTGAATTTAAACCCAAATTCGCTTCGAACTCAAATTGAGCTTTGTAGAAGGTCACTCGAAAATAAATTATATAACCTGCCTGTTTAGTTGTGAAATATGAGGGGTTCAAAATAAAGGCCATAGCCTGTAGTTGTGCGATAAGGTTTTAAAATTTGATAATATTAAAAACCGACTATGCGAAACAGCTGCACGGATTTAGAAGAAATATGACACTCAAATCGCTTATACCCTGACTAAAATAAGTTTTTAAACTCCTACACACCACTACAACTATTCGGGTCACAGACTTGATATACTTACAAACATACTTGGACCAAAAAGCAATCAAGGTTTCTATAATCGTATATAAAGATTTAGAGCACGAGCCATCCATGGCGTGGATAGTGCCAAGAAAAGTGGCTCAAGATGCTGTCAGTGATAATCGCTAGTGCGAAAGCTCCAAAGAATACGATGTAATAGCCACTCTAGAATCAAAAATGCATTAAATACTGCAAACTGAGCTAAAATAACTAAAGAACTCGAACGTTCCACAGTATGAGAAACCACTGTGCGAGAGTGAGAAGACATTGTGGAACAACTCATTTAATGGTCGCTGGACTCAGCAGCGGCTACTAAATGCCTATTCCACACGAAGTAATGTACGTTGGAAATCTCGCGGGGTGCAAAGCTCAACGTTCAAATCAGCTAGTAATGGTTTTAAATAGAACACCAACAGCAATAAAGTAAACCAAGTAAAGCAAAGTGATAGTAAAGCTTGGATCGAAAAACTGTCCGAATAATGCAAAAGGACGCATAATATCCGGCCAAAAAATATCAAAACGAAGCACTTAAGCGGATAATACTATAATGGACCTATGTAGTCCCTCATATAAGGCAAAGTGAGCTTGCAGACACATAAATCTTCGTATGGACGTTATTGGGTTTTAATCATACATATATTCCCCCACTCTTTCCACTTACCTCGTCAGGCGTGGCAACGAAGGGTCTTGTGACAAAATACGCTGCACTTCCTCGATGGTCTCCTCCAATTCGGGTGGCTTGAAAAGTGGTTGCTTCTCAGTTGGACTAAAATAATTTCTTGAAACCGGGAACGGTTGATTAATGGTGGGCAGAGTGCTGAACGGCCGGATTTGAAGTAGAATAAGGCAGAGTAAAAGAATCTTCGGGCGATGATACATTGTGGCTAAAAATAGAAGAATGAAACAAAGTTTTAAAAATAAAATTTTTATAAAGTTACGAGTAACATATCTACAATATTTTTGCGCTTTAACCTAAATCGTCTTTTTTACCAATAATTTTTTTCAATACTTGAAAGCACTTAAAATAACTAAATTTTTAATTAACTCTACTTTTTTTGACTAATACTTATTAGCTTTAGCTCCCAGCCATGTTCAACACACTCATAATTGCTCACTTCGCTGTACAAAAAAAGAAAGATTCAGCATAAATGCCGGTATTTCATAACCTCTCAAACGCCGCTCATAATTTTTAATCGCACTCAACAACTTTTAATAATACTTTGAGCAAATCTATTTTTGTAGCTCTGAATATGTACAGACATATGTTTAGTACATTCATGCGTACATATGTGCATTGCGTTCATGAGTTTATGCTTGTAGGCATATTCAACTATTGGACTTTACTCGCCATTATTTAGACTTGGCGCGAGTTTTTTGTTTTAGCACTTAGTGCGCGTTTGGCGCAAGCAATAGCCGCAAAACAAGGTACTTAATTTGATTTTGCTTTGCTGGCAATTAAAAATTCTTTATGTTATTAAGTTGATTGCTATAAAAAAAATTGCACTTTGCTTTAATGTTGATGGTTTTTCCAAAGCAGTGTCCATTCAAGCCATAAGCAATAACAAACTCTTCTCGTCGATGCTTATTGTCATTGGTTAAGCAGTTAATGGAAGCATGAAGTCAATTTTCAGATAAGCATAGCATCATTACATCGTATACTCTGTATGTAGCATTCACTAAACTATCGCCGAAACTGATGCCCAATACAGCACCGGAGATCCCAAAACGGTGGTGTGCGAACGCAGTCGCATGCATAGCAGGCTACTAAGGTCAGCATACCTACCGTACGAGGAGGAGTAACCACCATCAATTGCTTTCTGACAGCTTGTCACGCATGCTCAAGCACGCAGGGTGCACTTGGTAATTGGTTGTGATGCAAATGGGCATCATGAATTTTGCGGAAGCTCCAACACTAATACCAGGGGTGAGTCTATTTTTGATTTTATTCTTTCTAATAACCTAGTAACAAGGGTAAAAAGCCAACGTACCGTAATAGGATTAGGGAGGAAGTTATTGATACAACACTGGTCACCGACTCAGCTACAGCCATTAAAAATTAGTGGAGGGTATCGGACACGTGTTCTTTTTCAGATCACAGCAGGATACTCTTCACGATAGATTCTGAGGTAGCGGTATCACGACCGTTTAGGAATCCGAAAAAAAGCGGATTGGAAAACTTTCCCTGAATTAGCGTCCAACACACCAAGCTCGATGAAAACCTAAGTTAGACGGGGAAATGGTCAATTCAGATCTATGGCACGGAAGCTCTTCAACAAGGCTAAATGCAGCCGACGTGAGGAAGATTGGAACAAATATAAAATCATCTTTAATAAATACAAGAGTAGTATTATGGCAGCAAAGAAGGAATCCTGGAAAGAGTTCTGCGGAACGCTGGAGACCAAAAATGAGACGTCAAGGCTCTGCAGGGTACTAAACAGGTCGGACGCGACTCTGGGAAGTGTCTTGAGGCCAGATGGCTCTGAGACGGCCTCCAGCCTGGAAACTCTTGAATGTTTAATAGGCACCCACTTTCAAGGCAGCACGGACCAAATTGTTAGTAATCATGTGACAAATCGGCCTCGTGCCCCTTTAGAAGAGGTTTCAGGTATTATGAACAATGAAAAAGTAGCTTGAATCATCAAATCTTTAAATCCATTTAAAGCAGCGGGACCGGACGGCGTGATTCCCGCTATGCTACAATACTCGTGTGGGAGTCTGGTGCTCCATTTGACAAGCATTTTCGCAAGATGCTTAGAAACCGGATATGTACCGAAAGTATGGAGGGAGGGGAAGGTTATATTCATCCCCAAGGCAGGAAAGATAAACCACTCACAGCCAAAGGATTTCATACCAATAATTCTTTCATCGTTCATTCTAAAACACTGGAGAGACTAATCGATCTGCATATTAGGGAAAGTATTAGTATCCACCTAATGGATACGGCCCAACATGCATATCACAAGGGTAGATCTGTTGAAAGCGTACTCCACGAAGTGGTAGGAACTATTGAAAAACCGCTGGAACTTAATGAATACAGCCTTGACGGATATTGAAGGAGCCTTCAAATAATGTCCAAGCGGAGGCGATGACCAAGGCACTCTCTGAGAATGGCATTCAGCGTCCTATGGTGGCATGGATTGACTCCATGCTCGATAGCAGAATAATTAACGCTACCATAGGCACAGGATCTGTGAGAAGAAAAAACACCAGTGGCACGCCTCAAGGGGGTGTACTATCCCCTCCTGGTGTTGAACGAAATTCTTGAGCTCTTCAAAACCAAGAGAATAAGGGTGGACGACAAATTCCTGTCAACGATAAGTGAATTAATGGAGAGTGCACTAGGTGATATCTCTAATTGAGTCAACCAGAATGGATTGGGGGGTAAAACCCTCCAAGACAGAACTGGTATTGTTTACAAGGAAAAAATGTGCCCACGTTTTCTCTGCTGAAATTAGGGTAATCCACTTTGAAACTCTCGTCCGAAGCAAAATACCTTGGAAATATTCCAAGTAAAATTGGAAAAAGAATTTAGAGAAGAGAGCCAAAAAATTTCTAGCAGCATTCTGCACGTACAAAAGGACCTTTGGAAAGCCATGGGGACTATCACCGTTCGGGATGTACACCACAGTGATTAGACCAATTGCAACCCACGGGTCCTTGGTATGGTGGATATCCCTGAAAGAGTTATTCATAAGCACAACGACTGGAAATTATCGCGGGATCAGCTTTCCAAACCCACTGTCAACGAACTGGGTGGCGTTTGTCAGTGTGGCTTTGGAGCTGGAAAGTTCACCATAGACCTCGCATTCTACATACGCCAACTATTGGAAAATACTAACAGAGTTAAAAAACAGCATCAAAAATCTCATCATTACGATTCCGTTCAAAATTTTTTTTAATTTTTTTTAAATATTTTTATGCAAATATTTTAAGCTTAAACCTTTTTGTCATTTGAAAGGATTTTTTTTTTAAATCTGTAAGAAATTATTTTTATTCATAAAAAACTAAATTTTTGAAGGTATTTTCAAATCGGTCCAGCTCACTTAAATCTTAATATTTTTCCGAAATATTTTGGTGGACGTCTTAAAATATAATAGATTTTATAATTCCAGTGGAAAAATAGTACCGATTTTTTTTTGTATGGGGAGTGATGCAGTCTAATTTACATGCATACATATTTCTTGATGAAAAAATAAAAACTTGAAATAATAAAATAAATTGGACATCCAACATTAAGGTCCATCGGTATGTATGCCAACATTTGTTTAAACTTTTTAATGATTTCATTATTTAACTCAAAATGCATTTCAGATTGTGATACCGCACTTAAGATATTTGAATTGTTACGTTTCTGATCCTGTTCCATCCAGAACTTTTATTGGGTGTCGAAAGGCAAGAGTCGCATTTGCCATTAAGGGATTTTGAAATATTAATATGTAAATACCTTGAAGGGGTAGTTATTGTTCAATCTGGCTTGAAATTTATCGAAACAACAAGGAATTTGATAAATCGCCTACAGCCTGACTGTGGGAATGAGAGAATACCTGCCTGAAATCGGCTGGGAGCTGTTAACAATTTGATGCGTTTCATGTCTGTGGACTCCCAGGTGAATACCGGTCAATTACCAATGAAGCATTTTCGTCACATGGCGAATCATAAACATACTTTCATGGTATATCTCACCGTTTTAAGTTTTTAATGGTTAGTTTTCATAAAATTTTTCTGTACTATTATTAAATAAGCATTATTTATACATATATTTATGTTTTATCTAGTGTAAGATGTAGTAGATGGAGTATCCTATTACTCCACGAGGAGGAATTTAGGAGGATATAAACCATCTTTTATTGCTCGTAACGGAGGCTTGCGGGATGCCTCTTATGGGAGTACTCCCTTATTGCTCGTTCGGGGGGAATGTGGGATGTTTTTCTTTGTGCACTGCCTTGTTGTCTTTTTGGGAGGTTTCTGTGAGGTTATTCTGAGAGTACTCCCGTATGGCTCCCTTTGGAGGTTTGTGGGATGCTATTTTTGCGTGTGCTCCCTGATTGCTCATTTAGGAGGTAAAAGGGATTACTCACCCTCCTAGGACATACAATGTTAAAGGGAGTATACAAAATTACATGCTTATACACAGAAGCATAGGGAGCAATGGGGAGTATTCGTATACTCCCAAGGGAGTACTCGACGAGCAGTCGTACGATGCTCCCAAGTTCTACTGGGCTGAAAAACGCTGAAGTAAACTCAGCAATGAACAACAATAAGAATTAGAAAAAATTCATAAATATCTAAAAAAAAAGTCAGGTGTATGTAATTGTATAGCTGTGCAGCTTACTTACTTTAAGTAATAAATATGAGCTTGAATGCTCGTATGCATATGTTACCCTCAAGCGCTTATTTATTAAGAGTTGACAACGCGCTTGCGCATGCGCAACACAACTGTCATTTGCACGTGCCGTCAAGCATGAAGAGTTGCTCTAGGGAATATATACATAGTTGGCGTTCAATTAAATGTGTATTAACATATGTACTTGTATTTAGTGCATATGTATGTACACATACATACAGATGTGCATCCATATTTATATGTAGCAATTCATAGCAAGATTGGGATCTTTGGGTAAGTAGTCGGAAAATAACCCTGCAGTACGGGGGAGCGACTATAGGACTGATGAATCGGTAGCTACCTGGTAAACTCCGTCAATTACCGACCGACTACTTGCCGTGTGTTTCATCGACTACTTTTACAAGGCAATGTCCTAGGCCATCGGCTCTCTCTGCACTACCGGGAGTTACTAAAGTAGTCACTTGCGTGATTTATGGGCGCCTTCTGTCGTAGTTTTTCGCTATAACTACACCTGGTATATCACCATGACCTAAAC